AAAAAAAAAAAAAAAAAAAAAAATATATATGTGTCGTTATTACGTAAATCGTACATTAATTATAAGTTTTGCGAGCGCATAAAGTTGCACCGTTGTTTTCGAATCGTTCGAATTCCTGAAACCAGCTGATACGAGATCGAAGAATTTTGTTTTCTATTTACATCCGTTTAAATAATGTTTTAGATACAATTTAATTAGTTTGATTTTGTAATATATATGTTGGATCGTACGATTTAACTTTGAATGTGTCATGGTACGTGGTCGAGCATTAATTATTTCTCAATGAATAATGATTAGAAGAATTTCTCCATTTGTTAATTACGACGATCAAATGCTATGAGTGTACGTGCTAGGAAAATGATTAAACTAGCGATTGCGTTGAGAGATTTTCTCTGAATCCAATTTAATTTTTTTCTTTTTTTTTGGTTTATTAATATTCAGAAATAAATCAACCAATTTCATGTCATTCGTTTATTTTTACATAATGATATTTCGCTTTAAAATGATTTCCGATTATTAAAATATATTGCATACGTATATATTTATTAATTTTTCAAAGCATCTAGTCAAATGTTACTGCTTCAATTCGATTATAATCATCGTTCTACATTATTTCACGCTTTTCTCAATTATGATCTCCTATGATCAATCTTATTAATCATATTAGTCATTTAAAAAGAAAATAAATCGATATGGCGATCGAATGATTAATACTCGTGCAACGATTTGATCACAAACCAACAAAAGATCTCATTAATGTCGGTCTCCTACTTTCTTTCCAATTTTTTTCCCAAACGAAATAATTCCTGTTTCGGATTAAGCGACTTCAGAAACTCCATGCATCGCCGGCAACATTCTTGCAATTCGAAGTGTTAATGTTGCAAGAAAATTCTTCGAATTCTGCGCAGAGTTTCGTGGAGAAGGAAACGCGTTCGAAGAATGATCGAATTAATTATGGTTTAATTTAAGTCTTACTTTTATCAGCGTTGCAAAAAGTTATAAAGTTGTAAAAAGATATCATGAATCAAGATGGATGCTCATTAAAGATCTATCAGAGTATCTATCATTCCTTCATCGTTGATCTTGACATTTTTCATTTGGCTTCTCTCTGTCCATATTCGATATAAATGTGCAGAAATAAGTAGGGGAGGCTTTTTTTCGTAGAAAATCGAATTTGAAAATTATTGTACAACGAAGCTTCGTTTCATTCGAACGAGGATTTATTTCCAAAATGTTCCAATTCTGTTCCATTGTTATCGTACGATTTCCATATTTTATCATTTATTATCGTAAAGATTAAAAAATACAAAGAATTCTCTGCTTCGAGTTAAATAAAACCTTTGCTATCGCAAAATTGTCAACAGAGAAAAATACGTTCATTGCAATTCCGTCGAGTTACTCTGAATAAATCCCATTTGGTCGTCTTTTCAATTTCCTATCATTATGTTGAATTTGTGTGGCATTAGTGGAAGCTATTACGGAGTGAAAAACCGACGCGTCCCAAGGGTGCAGTGGCTCGTTTCGAATTCCAGCGACGATTCCCTTCATTTTCCACCTCGTGTTCCGATAAACAAGCCTGCTCGTTTAATTATCGGATTTTCTCGATAATTGGCGAAGATATCTTTCGCTGTTTCAAAGGAAGAAACAGTGTTTTAAAAATTACGTTTTAAAAACGTTTAATAGGTAAATTCTTCTCGATATTTCCGCATCTTTCGCTTTCGCGATTCTTTGAAAAGTAAAATCGCGTTACAATAACTCGATAATTTTAAGAAATTCACACGAACTGAGGAAGATTTGATCTAGAAAGAAACATTAAAATTAATTTTTCTATGTTCTCAAAACATTTTCTGAAAATCCATCTTATAAATCTTATTTTTTCGCGTATTAAGATTAACTTAATATGAAACAATATTTAAAAAAATTGAAATGAGATTTTTAAAATATATGATTCTTATTTAGGATGAAATCTAAGTAAGAAAGAATCTCGCTTCTGAAAACTTTCTCTTCCCTTTTCCACTCCGACCTTTCGATTTTTCTTACCATTCATTATCGTTTGCGGCCTAAAAAATTAACAAAAATAAATTAACAATATTATAATCAACATATGAAAGTCCAACTTTGAAAAGGAAAATTACTTTAAAAGCGTATCACCTTTTATCCTCAATAAACCATACATCACAGATTGCCGCTTCCAAGTCCACAATTTAAATCAAATTACATAGAAAAGGGAATACGGTGGTTACATAACACAAGCACGAAACTCAATCGTGTCGCTAATATCGAGCAAAAATATGTATAACATAATTCCATTATTTCATGACGCTTCCACTCGTCACAGATTATCCATTCGACAAAATGAACCTACTTTGGGATCCTACGACCGAACCTTCTTCTATTTTGAAAAAAATGAAACGATGAAAGAAGGAGAGAAAGAGAAAGAAAATATACGTATTCCTGTTTCGTCGTTAAGTTTTTGCGTGAATAAGTGAAAGGCGACGCGAGGCAAAATCGTTCGATTGCGCAATCCGCAAAGTCAAAGGAAATAAAATTTGGACGAGATTCTTTTTCAAACGATAGATCTGCACTATGGCCGAAGCCTTCGTCTGGCTAATCGGTAATTAACTGTTCCTGAATGTTCCTTTTTGCGCTTTTCAAGTTTTGTTGTTGAAAAACGTTCACCGTGAAACCTTCGTTTACGTTCATTATTATGCGTAATTCCGTTGTCAGTGAAAAAAAAGGGGGGAGAGGAATTTTCTCAACGCCACGTTGCGCAATCCAACACCTTTCACGAGTGCGTCTTTGACTATTCTCTGGTCTCCTCTTTGTTTTTTTTTTTTTTTTTTTTTGTGAATTTTAAATGTTTCGTGAACAAAATCTGGCCATAAATCTAACTAGATATCTCTGAAAAATAAAAAAGAACGATGTTATTTTAAATATTTATAATATTTTCATAGTATTATAATGTTATGTATAGTATTTATAATGTTTCGAGGATAATCTGGCCATGAATCTGCTGGACATCTCTGAAACATAAAAAAGAACGATGTTATTTTAAATATTTATAATATTTTCATAGTATTATAATGTTATATATAATATTTATAATGTTTGGAGGACGATCTGGCCATGAATCTGCTGGACATCTCTGAAACATAAAAAAGAACGATGTTATTTTAAGTATTTATAATATTTTCACTTTCGATGTTGAGAAATTATTGCATATTGCAGAAAAAGAAAGTTAAAAATTTTTTTAAGATATTTTAATATCCTATTAGAAATGAGATTATTGATTCTTTTTTGAAAGTTAAATACAAACTTATTTTCAATCAATTTATTATATTTCACGCTATTATTATATTTGTGTTGATTGCCATGAGAAAAATCCACCTCGAAAGAGTTTAAATATTTATTTTATTAATTTTCATTAAAAACTCTTGTGCTTGTGTGGTCATAGAAAATTGGATTGGACGATGTAAACACGTCATGCTTTGCATGCTTATATGAATTTGCAGGATGTACAATCCCTTTTGCGATTGTTACAGTCGAGAAGTCAAAAGGAAAATAAAAAAAAAAAAAAAAATATGTTAATTTTGTTAAATATTCTATTTCTATCTTATTATAATTTTTATTATAATTTCCCTCGTCCAACGAGTTAAAAATTATTACAATTTCCTATTATATTTTCCACATAGAGAATATTTACGGAGGAAAATGATTAGTTGATAGGAAAATAAAGAATTTCTGAAAAATATTTATTCTTTTCATTTTCAAAAGTGAAAAGTATCATCTGATTTCATCTATTAATAAAGCAAACTATTAAATTTTCAATATATATATATATTAGAATTTAATAATTTTTATTTATTTTATCCACCAAATTTCAAAGAAAAGAAAATTTTATATGCTCAAATCCAATAATTTGCAGTCAATGTTTAATTTTTAAATTTTCTCATAATTCGTGCCATTTCCTCTCGTAAATGCAATATTTTTAATGAAATATCATCCCTTAATTGCTTCCATTTACCACGCATAATATCAATTAATTCCTTCCACTAAATGTATTGCGCTCTTTTTATTTTTTTACACCTCCGATAAAGGCTTCTGTTCTTCATATAACGATGATAAAGATTCCAATTACGGGAAACACGCTGACTTGTCGCCTTCTATCAGCAAACCTCTTTCCATCTATTGTCCGCGCGCAATTAATGATAGAATAAGAGAAAATGGAGGAGCATTAGCTGATCTGTTTTTTTTCTCGAGATGAAATTATTGCCAACTTGCCGAATAATTGTAGAGAAAAAACATTTCGAGAATTGATTTTTTTCACTGATTTTATAATGTTTCTGTAAATATTGAAATAAATAAAGGAACGAGTTTAATAATGAATTTTGTATAACGATTTAATTTTAAATATTCTTCCTGATGTTTTTCTAATTATTATTAAGATGAACAAATAGAAGATTGTCGAAGACAAATTTTCAAAACAGAATACAGAATGCATTATGCATTTAGAAATTCTACAATCGAATGCAATGAATGAGTTACATAACGTTAGAATCGAGCATGCAACCGTGCGTTTCTATATTGTTGAATTTTCAATGGAATCATATTGGTTGAACTCGAAATCCTACAATATCAAATAACATAGGAATATAACCAATTTGAATATCTTTCTTTTTGAAAAATAAAAAATTGGAAAAGGAAAGTAAAATAGGAAAACTGCACGCTTTAATGTCTAAAATTAAAATTTTAATCATTTCCAAACTTCATAATTTGTCAATGAAGTTACAGAATTATTCTCGATAAATTATATAATATTATACGATCAATTCAATTCTTTCTTGTTTTTGAAAAATAAAATAAAATCGGAAAAACATTGAATGTACACAAATCTGCCTATTTACAAATCTTTTAATTTTTTCAATAAAATTGAACTCCACCCGAAATCGTACAACACCATAATAATAACGCAAGAAAACACTTGGAATTTTTCAATAAAAATAATCGTTACTTCCTATCCTATACCATTTCGCGAATAGAAAACTTCTTCACAATTAAAACAACTTGCAAACTTATCTCGAAACGCGATCATCAATAATAATTAAATAAAGACTGATATTAGGCAACGATCGTGTCGAAAATACGCAATTCAGTATTTTTCTCGCAATATTCGTTTTCGAAAGCGCATCGACTTGTTTCGTCCATCCGCGTTGCACTTGAAATGCCTCTTGCGGCCAACAGCTGAACTATTCGATCGAAAGCGGAAGGAATACGATCGTAGAACGCGATAGTCCCTGTAAAATCGTAGGCAGAAGTGGAAACCGCCCACTATTGCGACAATTTCGCGATTAATTTTGCAAATGCAAGCCGCCTATATCGTATAGGAACGCGAACGATCGCGCGTTTTGCAATTATCATGCATTGACTGAATGCTCGCGAGCGTGGTAAACCGATTTGAAAGGTCGATAAGGAAATGCGGAATATAATTACAAATTCGAGCAAGCGTCCCGGAATAAAAGACGGCCGTGTTATGCAAGTTCGATATACGCGCTCGATATACGCCTGAGGGGAAAATTTGAATCTGAATTTCCGGCCGATATAAATATATCGTAGTTCATAAATATTAGGATATTTATATGAGATACGAAATAAATTCGAGATGTCAAAAAATTGTAACGGAACTTTGAAAATATTTTCTATAAAAAACGAAAGAATAGAGAATTCAGGAATAATTTAAATTGAATTTTGTATATTTATTGTACATATAAAGACAAAGATGGTTGATACGCGACACTAGCGCCACGTAACTATTAACTACTAATAGCATCTAATTAACTTATTATATTCTTTTATAAATAGAATAAAAATATATTTTATTAATTCTTGATAATTATGAAACTAGCTAAATCAGTATAGAAGATAATTAAATTATATATATGGATTTTTTCGTGAATATCCTGTATAATATTTCTTAATAAAATAATAATAAATAATTCCTTTTTTCATTTGGGCCATTTATAACAATTTTTATATAAAACCAATAGGTATTCTAATATTCATGACCAGGAATGCACGTATATTTCTCTAGAGAAATATACAACGTGTTAATATATTCATGAGACGTATTTTAAAAATCGATTCCACCTCATAACTCGACAAATAAATTTTAACCATAATATACTTTTATTTTGAATTCTAAAACGACCCTCTAAAAAATCACGAAGGAATGTATTAACAACCTGTATACATTCATCAATTATACATTCTACCACAGAGCTTCTTTCTTTCATCACGCACACACTTTGCAAGTTGCATTTCAATTCATTAGAAATAAAACACCGACTTCATCCTTTGAAATTGCTTTCGAACGAAATAGAGGATTCATCTTGAAATAGTGAAGTCGTGTGTGCAACGATGCACTGAATTTTTTCATATCGAATCGCAGATATAATCAAGGAAATAGTTAATGTTCTTCTGCGAAACGAAATTGCATTTCCCCATCGATACTCCTTCTTCGATTTCAATCGTTTCCACTAAACTAAAATTCCGTGTTTTCCCATCGCCATTGAAAGCGTCGTGAAAAGCGCATTACGCGACAAATCCCCCGCGAAGATGCGAATGCTTGAAAGAATCATTCGCTCGTAAAAAGCAGGGACATTTGTTGTTCGTCTTTTGATGCACGCGGTTGTTCCATCAAAGTTCTCTCATTGAACATGCAAACGATTCGTTAAACGTTAAAAAGCTTGAACGAGGATCGGTTCGTGTGTCTAGAGTCGAGTGTGCAAACGAGATCCATGAAATAATAAAGCGAATCTGTTGAATTTTCGTACAAGCGGAACAGAGTGCTTAATGGTCAGTTGATTAATTAATGTTTAAAAAAGGAGGAGAGAGGAAAAATAAAACAGAAAGGAAACAAGCCTATCATGATTTTTAACGTATTAATGATTCTTATATAATGGCCGATGATTAAGATCTGGATGAGAAACGCCGTTTAATATCGTGAACGGAAGTAATTCAGTGAGGTGATTAATCATCCTCTGTCGTGTATTATTATTTAAACATTTATGAGAAGAATTCTTCTTAGGAAATCGATTATTAGCGTTTGAATAATTGTAATTGCAATTATGAAATATTTTTATTAGATCAATTAACGCAAAATTTTGTGGTGAAAATTGTATTAAAATTTTATTGCACAACAAGGAAATAAAGAATCTTCAGGAATCTTGAATGTGATGGATTTCAAAGGTAAAGATGAAAAGAGGAGGAATCAAAGGTGTGTTTGCTACAATTTAAATGAAAACGTAGCTGGTCATCCGTGAAAATTCCATGTCAAACGCCTCGATAATCATCCCCCAATGTAAACTCGTCGACATATCTGACGTAACGATACAAACATGAGTTAAAGGGGAGAGATTCTTCGACAAATTATGCTTATTAGAAAAATTCATACGGGAAACGTTTGATCTTCACGAAGGATAAAATTTTTCCATATATGAAGACACTTTGAAAAAGAATATGTTCACAAATTAAAAATTTTCTGAAAAAACTTTAATACTAAAACTATCTTTGTTCTTTTATAATTAAATTAAATTAAATTAAATTAAATTAAATTAAATTACTAAAAGCATTTCTAATTTTCTAAATTTTTATGGAGATGAAAATCTGATATAATAAATTATCACCTGTTTCTTTTCATTTACTTGTATTCCATTCACTTCAATTCTAATTTATTAAATCTATAACAAAAATGAATAAAGAGAAAAATATATTTCTAACTCTAATTTAACTAATTATTTTATCACAATTTCACTTCCATTTTCTCAAATACACCATGTACATATCCAAAAGAACGAACATTCCTACACATTTTACGTTACGTACAGATAAATTGAAAGAAAATCTCCACAAGAATCTTTCACAGAAATTACGAAACAACCTGATAAATATT